GGATCCACGTGGGGGTGAGGGAGGCTAGTGTCTGTGCTGGAAGCTGCTTTCTGGGGTCCCCCTGCAGACAGTGAACACTGAGTTCATGGATCCTGTATGTCTGAGGGCGTTGACAGGGCTGGGCGTCCTAGCCGACCCACTCAGGCTGTCCCTCTGTCTCCCCAGGAGCCCAGCATTGCCACTCCATCCAGCAAGTCCTGGGTGCTTCCAGTCCTGCTCTCCCCTGTCTGCTCAACTATTTCTTCTCCCATTTGGACGTTGGCCCCTGCGCAGACCCGAGGAAGTCAGCAAGTGCCCTCCCTGAGTGGGGGTCAGGCCCCATGTCCCATTGTTCTCTTGTCCTCAGGCACTTGGCACTTGGGCTCCTGGACTGAGAATGCCCTGGGCCTCAGGCAATGTGGGTAGAGCAGGTTTTAGGACTGGCTCTTATAGAAGTCCACTTAGGAAAAGGGACTTCTCTGCATATCTAGCCTGGATAAGGACCCTCCTAAGAGTGGGACTCCTCTGCCCTTCTGGCATCTTCCAAAGCTCTCCTCTCCTGCCCCTCACAGATCACTCTGGTGCAGCCCAGCCTCTTCCCACCAAGGCGTCACCCAGCTTCCAGGGGGTCCTGTTTTGCTCCTTTAAGAGGTGTGCTTCTCAGAGCATACATATAAGTCAAAGATTGTTGCCACTTTCTCTAAACTTTGCTTTAAAACAGGAGACCACCTCCTTATTTTGGGCTCCTAGGCCCAAAGGGTGGGCTCCTGCCAGCCCCTGCACCTCACCTCCACCCACCTCTCTAGATCCCTCTTCTCTTCCGACTCAGGGCCTTCAACATCAATCGCCCTCCCTTGCAAAGCTCCGCCCACATGTCCCTCCTTACGATGGGGCTGTGGGGACTGAGACTCTGCTGTGTCCCAGGGCCTAGGACTGTGTGTGCTCAGAGCAGGGACTGATGCTAAGGAGCAGTAGTGACATTAGCACAGAATCAAGCGTGCCCTCGGCCTGATCCCCCCAAAGGAAGCGACTCATGAAGTGAGCAGGAGTGTGAGGCTGCGGAGGAGGGCAGGGGGGATGAGGGTGTGAGTGGGCACCCTGTAAGGGGCTGGGGTCTGAGAGAAGAAGAGAAGTTTCCAGGAAGTGGGAGGGGCTGAGGGGTCAAGAGGTGGGAACACACTGTTGCCTGATGAGATGCTCCCTGACAGCGCCCTGCTGGGTGAGCTCCTATTCACACGGAGTCTCCGGTGCTCTGGGGACAGACGGTGGGCGGGGACACTCAGGGCAGCCCTGAGCTTCCAGCCCAGGTGGCACCAAAGAGGCCCACAAGGGCAGGCCAGCTTGTAATTGGGCACAGTTGGGACACAGTTCCACCACATGTGGGCACGCTTTGGGCTGGGTAGCCAGGCAGGCATCTGGAGGGCTAACCTCTAGGTTGAGACATTCACCAAGGAAAAGTGGCTAAATTCAAACAATGATATTATAAAGTTAAAATGTCCAAACTCAGTGGGAGTCTTTTCTGTATCCACATTAAGGATGATTATAGAGGTAAGAATAACAGCAAGCCCAGTACCACCAAAAGCTGCCTTTGTGGGGAGGCACTCTGTCCATGAGCATGGCAAACAAGACTGGCACAGTGGGCATCACCTCTGGGGGTGTAGGCACACCTCCGAGGAATGAGAGAAGTCTGAACAGGTAAATGAGCAGAGCCCGGCCCCAGGGGGGCTTCTGGCTCCTGATCTTTGCTGGGCCTCTGTCAGCTCCTGAGGTGTCCACTGGGCTGACAGCTGCGTCCACGGGACGTGGCCCCACTTCCTTAGTGAGCCTCTGGCATTGCTACTGGTCTAGCCCTTGCTGGTATGCCTTCTGAGGCTGTGTCCAGAAGGCAAGTGTTACCCATTGATCTAAAGTCACTACTATGCCACTTGTGAAGTCATACAAACATCCTAGGGCAGGGCTGTGGCGGGCCCTGCCACATACTCCTGACCCGAGTTCATCTCTGTGGGTGGAGATCGAAGCTGGGGTCTTAGCTTAGAACTCCCTGATCTTGGAGTTCAGGCATGCCCTAGGTCGTCCTGCATGCACGCTTCACCCCTCATGTCCTGTCCTCATCTGTGGTGTGGTGGAGGTGTTCATAGGCTCTTTCTGGAGCGGGCAGGTGAGACTAGGGGAGGTGACTGCAAGGACTGAGCTTGGGCTGTGGTCTCAGGTCCACGGGCCGCCTGAGCTCGGGGCCTGAAGTAGCATTGGGTTTCAGTGGGTGAGGACAGATGCTGTCACTTGACTCATAAACTTTGGCAAGTGCCCATTCTGAGCTCTCGCTGAGTGGAGCCCTGAGTCCCCGTGTTTCTGGTGCCCTCCGCTGGTGGCTTCTGGGGACTCCACAGCAGAGTGAAAAAACTGACTTGATTCATGTCAACGTATGACAACAACCGCTACAATATTGTAAAGTAATTAGCCTCCAACTAATAAAATAAATGAAAAAAAAAACTCAACATTCAAAAAACGAAGATTATGGTTTCTGGTCCCATCACTTCATGGCAAACAGATGGGGAAAGAGTGTCAGATTTCATCTTGTTGGGCTCCAAAATCACTGCGGACAGTGACTTCAGCCACAAAATTAAAAGACGCTTGATCCTTGGAAGAATAGTTATGACAAACCTAGACAGTATATTAAAAAGCAGAGACAACAGTTTGCTGACAAAGATCCACATAGTCAAAGCTATGGTTTTCCCCATAGTCATGTATAGATGTGAGAGTTGGACCATAAAGAATGCTGAGTGCTGAAGAATTGATGCTTTTGAAATGTGGTGTTGGACAAGACTCTTGAGAGTCCCTTGGACTGCAAGGAGATCAAACCAGTCCATCCTAAAGAAAACCAACCTTGAATATTCACTAGAAGGACTGATGCTGAAGCTGAAGTTTCAATACTTTGGCCACCTGATGTGAAGAACTGACTCATTGGAAAAGACCCTGATGCTGGGAAAGATCCAGAGCAAGAAGTGAAGTGGGTAACAGGATGAGATGGTTGGATGGCATCACTGACTCAATGGACATGAGTTTGAGCAAACTCTGGAGATACTGAAGGACAGGGAAGCCTGGCATGCTGTAGTTCATAGGGTGGCCAAGAGTCAGACACAACTGAGTGACTGAACAATAACAGCCTTTTGGGCAGAGAAAGGGGGCCTCACCTGCCTCTACTGCTGTTTCCTTTGCAAGGCCTGTCCAATGGTCTTATAGGGCTGACGATCAGGTGGGAGGAAGGCTAGAACAAAATCTTAACAGAGATCTGGAATTTAGCTGAGAATCTATTCACTGTTAACTCAAGACTGGCATCAAATTTATTATTATCTTTTGTTAAATATTTTATCTTTTTGGAGCATATGTTCTGCAAGGGGTAGGGGGAGGTTTTCTTCTCAATACATCTTTGTGTGTGCAGTTATGTGACAGGAGCATAGGTGGGACACATGTCGGGAGGGGTCTTGGGCCTGGGCCACTGCACGGAAATCCTTGAGATGCTTCTCTGATTGAAACACCCTCTGGACTTCAAGCAGGTAAAGCTGAGACCCAGGTCTCACAAGCAGATGATATCAGGGGAGGGCACCTGGGGACAGTTAGGGTTACAGCCACACTTACACTCAATGTATCTTAAAGGAACAATAAACAACATGCTGGTGGTGGGGGTGGGGGGCGGTGGTTCCTCCCAGGCACGCCCCTGCTCGCTGCATGGCCGCCTGTCCTGCAGGCGTCTCATGGCGGGGAGTGGGGTGTCAACCTCCATGGTGCTGACTGGGATGAGGGTCTTTCTCCTGGGGTGTGGGTGGCCAGCCAATCGGAACTAGGTGGGGTGCCTGGGGGGAATGGCTCCAGCCTCCAGAGGGTCCCCTACTGTTCTGTGACAAAGGCTTGACCTGCCGGACCACTGATGTCAGGCACAGAGCAGGGGGCAGGAGACAGGGGCCTCCATGGGGGTGTAGGGACATCTGTGGATTGCCTCCTGGTATTCTGCAATACTGGGGGTCCGTTGGGCCAGCCCCAAAGCCTTTCTTGAAGGAACCCACAGTATTTGCCTCTCATAAGGATGTTCACAGCTTGGGTGGTGCCTTGGGTAGCAGATCCAGGCCCCAGAGGGAAGAACCGGGTGGTTCTCAAATGGGCAGCTCTAGACCGTCAGATGACTCTTCCAATTCTGGACCAGGCAGGTGCTGGGGCCTTCTCCAGAAAGAGGTGGCAGCCACAGTGGGGCCTTTTATGACAGCAGTTGACTGAATGTCAGAGCCAAGAACTTTCCAGATTCAGAAACACCTTTCCTGGGTTCCCTTTAGACTGAACTTTTTAAAAGTAAATTCTTCATAGCAGCTCAAATAGCCTCTGAAATTCTAATTAAAAAACAAAACATTGTTGAAAAGTTCTCAGCACTCAGGAGAAGAAGGCTGCTGTGACTGGTTTGGGACTGCAGAGATGGATACTCTGAGCTGTTCGGTCAGGCTCAGGAAAGGACACTTCCGTTCCTCTCCACTCAAATTTCTCATTTGTTGCTTTGCGTTGGAAATGTGGCACCTTCTCTGAGCCTTGGAGGGGCAAATGAAGAAAGCCATTCCCACGGGAAGGGGCAGTATTTGGGGCAGGGCTGGGAGCCCACAGTTCAACCTCGACTATTACGTCATTCTCATACTTCTCATCAGAAGTCAGGGATCACACCATCTACCACGCTGAGATGAGGCACCCAAAGAGATATTTCCTATGAGAGTGCCCAGCCCAGAGCTGGCCCCTGTGGATGTTGAACTGAGTGGAATCTGCATCTGAAGGGGAGGAGGGCCCCGGGGATCTGCAGGGTGTCCTGGGCAGGCGTGGTGACGGAATTGAAGGGAACGCTGGAGCCTGGGTTTTACTCTTCCTAGCTAAGGAGAAACTGGATGAGATGAGCTTCCAGCCTCGGTCTCCAGCCCTCTCTCACTGGCCAGGCGTGACCCCCACCCACTGTCAGAGCCCAGGGTCCAGGTGGCTTGTCCGAAGCTGCTTTAGTAGCTGCTGTCTGTGAAGAAGGGCGCTCGGGCGGCTGGGGTGCTGGCGCTCTCCTCCGGGGGCCCCGCCAGCTCCCCGTACTCGCTGTTGTAGAACACCTGGCCCCGGGGTCCCAGCTCGGGCCGCCGCCTCCCTTGGGGGTCGAGGTGGGCCGTGGTCACGTTCACATTCCTGCCCCGTCCTTTACAGCTGCTGAGACAGGAAGGCGACATCAGTCAGGAAAGAAGAACGATCGGAACCGTGGTGAGGTCTGACCGGAATCACCAGAAACAACAAGAGCAACAAGCAAGGCCAATGGAAACACAAGATTTTAAGATTTGACTTAAATAGAAAAACAAAGCAGTGTGCCTGCTGGCAAACACCAGAACGGTTCTTTGTCCCATGCCTGGGCGAGGGACAATGGAGAAAGCCCAACTCCATCCCCCCAAACCTGCTTCTCTCCCGGTCTTGCTCATCTCTGTAAATGGCACCAACATTGCTCTAAAGCCTCAAGCACCCAGGTGTCATCCTCTCTTCCTCCCTTCCCCTCATCCCCCACATCCGGCCCACACAGCAGTCCTGGCCTTTCTACACTAAAAGGCATGCTCCGCCGCTCCTTCAGAGTGAGCTGCCATCACTGAGCACTCGGGACTGCCCTAGCACATCGTTTCCTCCCTCTCATCCTCCCTATAGGCCAGTCTTCAGAGATCCTTCAAGTTATACCCTTCGATACAACTCATTCCCTACAACTCACTCTGAATAAAGTCCAAACACAGAGGGCCCTGCAGCTTTGGGTCCCCTCCTGCCTTGCCGATGGCCCAGTGATGCTCCCTCCTTAGCCCTCATTTTCTTTGAGCTTTCTGAAAATTTGTTTCATTGTTTTTGCTTTGCATGGTGCTACTGAAAAGCCTGATACTTCAATCTCTCTCTCTTTTTTTTGGTGACTTGGTGTTTTACCTGAATGTTTATCTCTAAAATCTGATAGTTCAACTAGGTTATGTCTCAGAGTTTACTCTTTTTGGACCAGTTTTCCTAGGTACCCTTCTAATATGTAGATTTAGTTCCTTTCATTTAAGAGCATTATTTTGAATTACATATTTAAAAATATTAGTTCTATTTCACTGTTGGCATTTTTCTTCTTCAGAGACACCAGTTGTAAATATGTGGGAGTTTTCTATTTAACTTCGAAAATTTTCACATTCCTTCTGACCCTTTAGACCTCTTGATTTATTCTTGACCTCTTTTCATATCTATCAAATGTGCCACTGCAAGTCTGATCATATTTAATTGTCCCTTGGGTACTCTGCTCTTCATTTTTGAGAGGATTTATCTTTTATTTCAATTCCTTCCATAAATTTAGTTGGCTCCCATTTGATATTGTCACACTTTGTCTATATTTATTCTGAATTTTTGAATTTATGATTCATAGTGCAGCTACTTATTTCATTATGAATTTAATTTATGTCATTGTGTTGTATCACAGTTTTTCCATGTTGTTTTTGGAGTGTTTATGGCTACTGAAAAGTTTTAGTTCTAATTTTCTTTTTTATTCTCATAATAACTCTGTATGGATAGTGCTCATTTTTCTCTGTTCACGCTTATTCAGGCTGAGATTACCCTATGGGTTTGATCTGGACTGCAAGGAGATCAAACCAGTCGATCCTAAAGGAAATCAGTCCTGAATATTCATTGGAAGGACTGATGCTGAAGCTGAAACACCAATGTTTTGGCCACCTGATGTGAAGAACTGACTCACTGGAAAAGACCCTGATGCTGGGAAAGATTGAAGGCAGGAAGAGAAGGGGACGACAGAAGATAAGGTGGTTGGATGACTTCACTGACTTGATGGACGTGAGTCTGAGCAGTCTCTGGGAGTTGGTGATGGACAGGGAAGCCTGGTGTGCTACAGTCCATGGGGTCACAGAGTCAGACACGACCGAGTGACTGAACTGAACTGAACTACGCTATGGGAGGAGGGCCAGGAATGTGAGCTCTCTTCACTCAGGAATACTATAACACCATAACACATTGAATCCCTCTCTCCAAAGGTCCATTCATGTCCCATGCCGTCTCCCCAGTGGGGACTCGCCAGCCACTTAAGAGGGAGTGCTGGACACCTCCCCAGCTGTGCGGCCATGCTGACCAACCATAAGCCTCGGGCTTTCAGATCTCCCTTCTACCTGCAGAGCTGGATGAGCTGCCACGTCCCAGGGAATGGGGAATGGCATCCTAAGTGCCACTGAAAGGACTGGGTGAGCCACCTTGGAGTGAGGATGAGTTAACTTCCCACAGGGTGAGTACGAACCAGTGGTGAGCAGAAGATAGGAAAGAACTGAGGAGCTGAACTCCTTCCTTCTCCCTGACAGAGGCTTTCAAGGCACATTCCATCCCACCTCTACATCTGTTTGCGGAATGTTCCATTTGCCAAGTGACCTGCTACACCCCTTTGTGGCTCATCACACTGTGTTTCCAAGGGAACCTGGGAAGAGAATAATGTCCTCTGTTGCTCCCATCATGACGTGCAGTTTCTGTAATGAAAAGACCCTTGGGAGTGTGACTGTTTTTGAACTCTTAATATAATCTTGTTTCTATAAGACTCTTCTCCCACTCTCTTCTTCCTTCACGACCAGGCACCTGAGATGCACACTCCCCTCCTGCTCACTGTCCTTTCAGAAGCAGTGCCTTCCTAAGGCCATTGTCCCAGTGCTCACACTCTGACATCTCCTCGGTCTGTGTGGCCGTGGTCCCGAGGACCTTGACGGTCCCCTCTCAGGGGGCAGTGCCCAGACTGCTCTCCTCTGCCAGGGTGCAGGCATGGCTCTGCTGGTTCTGCTGCTGAGTTCCCTACTCACATACAACTGGAGTCTCTCTCTTGCTTATATCATAGTCACAGGCTCTGAGAGGTCTTGTTTCATGAGCTGATTTTAGAAAGATGTGTGGAGACTGGAATTTAAGTAGTTATCGTCCTCTGGCTTATCCTCTTACTGAAATACTTTTGGGGGAGATAAAAAAAAAAAACCTGGTAAAGAAAAATTAGCCAGAAACTATTTTTGTTGAATAAATAAAAAGCATTAATTTTTCAAAACTAGGTTACTCATAGAGATTACCTGACAGAATCAATAAAAACAAAGAAGGAGGCCAAGATGCATGATAGAGACGCAGCAATTATCTGTAGGCATACAACCCCACAACCTCCAGTGTTCCCAGTACTGCAAACATGCCTTTGTAGGCTGCTGGGAACGTAACAGATATTTGGCTAAGTTGCTGAGATCTTAATGATACCTACCGGAAAGGCGAAGAATGACCTCAACTATCCTACTGTGACACAAATTAACACCTGTGGTCTAGGGTAAACTATTCAATGATAACACCTACTGATTCAAAAACAGCCTAGGCAGAAGACAAGTAAAACTACATCAGATGACCCCAAAAGGGGTCCCTGATAGACACAGGGGTCACACAAGGATCTGAAAAAAGCAGAAAACAGCACTGTTTTATATTAATACAATATTTTAGGTTCTATCATTTAAACAGCTATGAGCAAGTCAATTACTAAAGTAAATAAGTAGAAGTACAGATGGACAAGGGGCACATGAAAAGATGTTCAATATCACTATGAGAGAAATGAAAATAAAAACTACAGTGAGATATCACTTCATACTGGTCAAAATGGCCATCACCAAAAACCCACAAACAATAAATGTTGGAGAGGGTGTGAAGAGAAGGGAGCCCTTCTACACTGTTGGTGGGAATGTAAATTGATAATAGCCACTACAGAGAACAGTATGGAGGTTCCTTAAAAAACAAAAAATAGAGCTACCATATGGCCTTGCAATCCCAACTCCTGGGCATATATCCAGAGAAAAACATGATCTGAAAGGATGCATGCATCTCAATATCCATTGCAGCACTGTTTACAATAGCCAAGACATGGAAGCAACCTAAATGTCCATTGACAGAGGAATGGATAAAGATGTGGCACATATACACATTGGAATATTACTCAGCCATGAAAAATAATGAAACAATGCCATTTGGAGACACATGGATGGGCCCAGACATTGTCATACATACTGAATGAAGCGAGTCAGACGGAAAAGGACAAATATCATATGACATCCCTTACATGTGGGTGGAATCCAAAAAGATATGATGCAAAACAGAAAAAGACTCACAGACTTAAAGAACGAACTTATGGTTGCTGAGGGAAAGGATGGGCGGAAGGGATAGCTAGGGAGTTTGGGGTGGGCAGGTACACACTGCTATATTTAAAATGGCAACCAACAAGGATGTCCTGTATAGCACATGGGACTTTGCTCAGTGTTATGTGGCAGCCTGGGTGGGAGGGGAGCTTGGGGGGGAATGGACACACGTGTATGTATGGCTGAGTCCCTTCACTGTCCACCTGAAACTATCACAACATTGTTAACCAGCTACAGCCCAATGCAAAACAAAAAGTTAAAAAAGGACTGCATGCAAAAAGACACTAATCTTCATTTATGGTTCTATATGCAACAGAGTATCTTAGGCCATTGACCAGACTCATCTTTAATGTGCAGTTTCCACTGGATTTTAAGATATGCTGTGTGAAAAAAGAATTGTGTGTTCCAATAAAGTTGAAAAAATGGACCAAAAGTTTAAAAAAACATGTACACATTTAACTGTTTTATGCATACCCTTAAAAGTTTAAATATTCAGATCTACTTTTAAAGAGTGGAGGTATCTTCTTGGGAAATGGAGGTCACTGTTTTTGGAGCTCACCCCCTATGCAAGCACACTGGAAGATTTCTCTGTAACTGTATTCTCACCAAAGAAGTACAACAGCCCTCTCTAGGTCACATGATCTGTGGCCTCTCCTGGCTGGGGGAAGGGTGCTACATCCATTGGGCATAGCAGATGTTTCTTGGTTTCACAAAGAGGTTATTGTCTAGTATCTGACAAAGGGGACCAGCATGAGGGTGCTGGGTCAGGACAGTGATGAGGGGTGGGGCTTATGGGAAGGCTGGTGGACAAAACCCTCAAGTCCCAGAGTGGTCTGCCCTGAACACACAAAAGGTAATCTGGAGACATGAAAAGCTTCAGGAGAGAGCGCGCGGCACACTCAGGCCCGGCCTCCCTGCGCTGGGCCCCGGCCAGGAGGCAGCTCCCGAAGCCCTACCTGAGCCTGCTCTCTTCTCTGTGCCTGCTCTCCAGCTGCTCAAACTCCTCGGAGGCCAGCACCATCCCACTGTCCGTCTGGCTGTCCTGCGCAGAGAGACCATGCCGAGGTTGCGGGTGGGCCCCAGGAAGGCCCGGCTGTAGGCAGCCCCCCTCAGACCTGCCCCACCGCTGCCTGGACACTCATCCTGTGTGGGGGAGACCGGAGGCTGTCGGTCAGGGTCACACGCCCCTGGCTCAGAGGGAGACACCGCGTCTGGCGGGGCCACGCCCTGTGATTCAAGAGGGTGGCAAGACTGGGACACCCCTGTTGGGAGATGCACAAGGTGGCCACACGCCTGCTCAGGACTCAGCAGAGCAGGAGCACCGGGAGACACGGGGGAAGTCTAGAGAGAGTCCGACAGGTCACAGTGGAGAAAAAGGATCCTCAGGTGTGTCCAAGGTTTGGTGGGGCTACGTCACAATCAGCATGACTTGGAGTGGTCTTGACTTCTGTGGAGGGGGACTGAACCACACTCTCACCAAGGATGGGGGGCCCTCCCCCTGCGTCTTTGTCTGACCCTGGGGATGGGAGTGCGGGTCTGCATGGCGCTGGTTTAGGGCACCCACCGCCACCCGTGTACCTGGCTTCCCCTGGGCCTGTCCTCACTCACCAGCCCCATCTGGATGGATGCTGGAAGGCTGGGCTTTTACAAAACGGTCAGATTGCCTCCAGCCTCACTGCGCTGTAAGAGGTCTACTCCACTTGACCGCCATCTGAGAACACGAGTGGTCTTCCCATGCCTCTTACCCTAGACTTCTTGTCTGGTGACACCATCTCCTCTCTGGTCACGGGGCCCGGTGGCCACCCCGGGGGGGCCCTGACTCGGGTTGATCCCAGGAGAACCTTCTAGAAGGAGGAGCTGTCTTTCCACTGGGTTTCTACCTTGCAGGGAGAGAGAGACTGGGGTGCTGGGGAGGGGAGACCCTGGGTGAGTTAAAGGGGCAGAGACATGGGGCACTGGGCTCCTTGTGCTGAGCTGGTTTCTGCCATGGGCCTCAGGGCTCCCTTACATCTAGCTCCCTGTGGGAAGACTCCAGCGGCCGTGGCCTGGGGTGAGGTCACAGGCCCACTCACTCCACTTACCACGATAGCCTTGCAGGTAGTTGGGGTCATGGGAAATTCCTCAAACGTTTTCATCCTGGAGGAACCCTGGGTTTGAGTCCCTCTGGCAAGGCATCCCGGAAAGGACACACAGTTATAATATCTGTGGGAAGGAAACAGCAAGTGCTGAGAAGTGCAGTCCAGCACCCTTCCTGAAAGCTCTCTGCACCTTTCCTTCTGTACCCCTCTCCTCTCGGGAAGCACGCCAGGCCTGGGGCTGGTCTAGACGGCTCCCCAGGCCCGAGTCTTGCCTCTGCTCCCAGGCAAGAGGAGTGAACCTCCCTGAGGCCATGCTGGGGAGGATGTGGGAAGCGAGCAGCAGAGGGCACATGGCCTGGGTGTGACGTGGAGCTGGAGAGAGACTGGGGAGGACTTCCCTCCAGGACGGGCCACCCTGTGCAGGGCAGGCGGTACTGATGTCGCGGGCCACCCTGTGCAGGGCAGGCAGTACTGATGTCACGAGCCCCTGTCTGACCTGTGAGTACGGGTGTGTGCACATTCGAGTGCCTGTGGTGGGGCTGGTGGAAGGAACCCGGCAAAAACCAGCTGGGTGTTCCTATTCCCCAGGCCCGACCTTGTTCTCTGCTGGGGAAGATGGCGTGGAGAGTCCTGAGCTCTTTTCTCAGCAACACCAATGCGAATGTGGATGCATGACCTTCTTGGAATGTAAATATTCACTGGCCTCTGACCCCAAACTCTGGATAGTTAGGCTCCATTCTAAATCCTGAACAAGGTTAGTGAGTGGCCAGCTCTACTCTCAGGGTCCCGGGAACTCGCCCCTCTTTCCCTTGCTCCATGTTCTTTCCCAACAGGGTGGAGGTGGCCAGGGCGCTGTGCCTGAGAGGGGCGCTCCCTTGAAATTGATGGTGGAGGGCCTCTCAGGGGCTAGGAGTGTGGGCAAGCAGAGGAAGCCAGAGGGAAGAACTGAGGGGGCATGGAGCAAAGCAAAGCTGAAAGGCCACATGGGCTTGGAAGGACCTCAAGACTGACCACACCCACCGAGTCATCAGCAATGCTGTCACTTAGCTCTTTGAATTGATATACAATGGCCTCTTAAGTCCTTGTCCTTCACTTTTCCTTGATGACTGATGAGGATAAAACTTATACGTCCAGACTGCTTTCCCCTTGCCCGGGGGATGCTTGGATCTGAAGAATGGGGCTGACCTGGCGGCCAGGCTGTGCTGGTGCAGGCTCAGCGGGCTGTCCTCTGTGTCAGCATCCGTCTCTGTGATGTGCACGGCCGTGGTGGACGCCTGCAAGAAGCTGCCTTCCTCCGAGCTCTGAGGACCACGAGGAGCCATGCAGTCCTCATCGTCCTGGCAGGAATGGCACACAGAGCCAGGGTCAGAGGCCCTTAGGCCCCACTTTGCCCCTCCTCCTGCACTCAGGACTTCTAGAGCTCCTGATCCTTCAAGTGCTGTTCTCAAGGGCTCCAAGGGTTCTCCCCACAGCCCTTCCAGGAGCCCCTTCTAGGGAGGAGGCAGGCATAATAATAGCATCCTCGTTCCAGAGCCTCGAACATCAGTACTTCCCACCCTCACCTTGGGGGCAGCACTGGCCCCCAAGCGCCCATCTTCAAGTCCCTGAGGCTGGGGCAGCAGGTCTCAGGGCTGCCCTGAGCCAGTCCTGAGCTGGGGGAGGGAGATACAAGTCAGAGGTGGGTGCGGGGGGCAGAGGGGCAAAGAGTGAGGTAGAACACATCACTGTTCTGCCAGGAAGTGGGGCTCTGCTGGCTCCCTGAGGACCAGCCTGGGCCTCTTCGTGGGAAAGTTGGGTTCTGACCATCCATGTGATGGCCCCTGGCTTGGAGGCCAGAGGTTGCTGCAGCAGGACAGGGAGAGTCGGGGCCTCACCTGCTGGGCCCTGCCCTGAAGCAGGTTCCCCAGGATCTCCACCAGATCTGAGAATGCAGGCCTCTCTTTGGGGTCTCCCGCCCAGCAGCTCAGCATGATGTGGCGTCTGTGGGTACAGCTGGATGTTGGACGGCTGTCTGAGCACACCCTGCACCTGACCCCAGCAGACCCAAGTCTCCTGCCTCCTGCCGATCCCTCATGCCTGCTCTGCCTGCCTCCCTCCCCCGGGCTTAGGCCAGGCCGTCCCTCCTACCTGCAGGAAGGAGAGCTGTCGGCAGCGGCCCCGTGGCGGAGTGAGAGACAGTGTCTGCAGGCCTACAGCCCGGCTCCTGTGCCTGAACCTCCTCCCCCCTCCCCCCGCTGCTGGCATGCCCCCTTTCCCAAGCCTGCGCACAACCCCCCTTACCTTTTCCTGGTGCCCACCCACCCCTACGGCCCCTCAGTGCCTCACGGCTTCCCGAGAGACTCACATGGCAGGAGTGGCTAGCTCTGGGGCCCTCATCCGGGTGCCTTCTTTTAGCCGCTGGCAGAACTCCTCATTGATCTGCACCCCAGGGTATGGGGAGGCCCCTGATGGTAGAACAGGATGGGGGTGGGTGCGGAGCAGGCTCCCGCTGTTCCACTCAGGTCTGAACCGCCTCTGCCCCGGCCTGTTATGGCAGGGAGTTCACCCTGCTGCCCCCTCCCCTCGGATGAGTTCTTCATTAGGTTAAGAGGCCCGTGGCACCCGCTTGTGAGAGCTGCCATGAGCATCAGAGCTCTCCCAGGCGCACTGGCGGAAACACTCCCCATCCTGGAACCATCAGGGCCAGTGGAGCTAAGCTGAGCCAGTTGAGCTGCCCTGTCACAATGACCCCTCCTCAGAGGAGCCTTCTCCGGCTCTTCCTTACGTCCTGTGGCTCTACCAGCAAAAAGGACCTAGCTCCTGCAAGCCGCACCGTAGTGGAAAGGCCCTGTTAAGACCAGAGTCCCTCCCTCAAACCCTGCATGGCTCCCGGTAGACTTAAATTCCAGGCCCTCACCCCAGGGGGCTTTTGCAGCATCTCCCAGTGCTGACTGCTTACACCCTGCTCAGCTCCCCAGCACAAGGATCACAGCCCTGACCAAGCCCATGCCCTGGACTGCCGTTCTGCAGGCCCTCTTGCCTGCAGCCCGCCCGCCGTCGTGACCTGCCCCTCCTGGCCCGTCCAGCTCACACCCAGCGCTGTGCCCCCTGCGCTCCCCGTGCGCGTCTGTCTCCACTAATAGTGTTGGTCATGGCTGCCACTCAGCGTTTCCACCTACTTGCTTCCTGCCTCACCCCCACTCTGGCTGGGGCCCCTCATCTTGGATCCAGCGGGGCCCGGTTTACTGTGGGAGGCTTGAGCAGCTGTGGTCACTGAGGGAGCCGCTGGTCTTCCAGATGCTCCCCAGCCCCGCAAAGGCAGGAGCAGCGTCCCCAGCGGCTTGTGAGGAAGGGGCTCAGCCAGGGAGGGGTCCGGGGGCTCCTACAGCCTTCCCCTCTGTGACAGCGACGAGCCCAGGGGCTGCTGGGTGAACACAGCGCTCTGCCCTGGGCACAGGCTGGACGCGGAGGGGGGCCCGGGGGGCCCCCCAAGCACCTGTCTCAGAATGAGCGGGGTTGCTCGGCCCCGGTGCGCACCTCTGCTGAGCCTGCCCTGCCCTGCCCCCTGCCTGTACTCACCCAGGGAGAAAATCTCCCACAGCAGGACCCCAAAGGACCACACGTCACTCTGCGTGGTGTACACCTTGTCGAAGATGCTCTCGGGGGCCATCCACTTCAGGGGCAGCCGGGCCTGCGGGATGGACGTGTGTCCCAGCGGGGAAGGCAAGAACAGAGAGAGGCCAAACCCGGGGCATCCCTCCCCTGCCCCTCCTCTCCCCAGGACTCTGGAGTCACAACACAAGAAAGGCCCTTTGGTCAGGTCCTCGCTGCGTGTATTCAGATGGCTCCTGCAATTGGCTCTGTCCCTGCTGACCCGCGCCCCCCCCACTCCATTCCACAGGTGCCTGGTGACTTCTTTGAAGGCTTCTTCCCTGCTACTATTCAGGGGGGACATCCGCGTCCCCCTCTTCCCCTGTGCTCTCCCAGAGAAAACTTGTAGCCTGTCTCCAGCTGCAGACCCTTTGGCCCAGTGTACTGGGGGATGCTGTGTCCCTGCACACCCTCACCAGCCCCACCTCTATCCATTCATTTGGCCCGCACACCAGAAGCCTGGCATCACCCCTGACCCCTCCTCTGGTGGCTCCTAATGTGACCCCCTTCTATGACTTTGACCTGGAGCCTTGAGGACCATGGGCCTTCCTGACTTGCCTCTGCCTCCACCCCAGCACCCCCACCCCTCTCTTGTGACAGCTTGTGGAGGGAGTTTCTGAACAGCTGGCTGTTACCTCCACAGTCCCCACATACCTGAGAGTGAGAATAAAGGACAAAGCCCTGCATGGTGGGCCTCTCATTGCTGTCTGTGGTTTAGTTGCTCAGTCGTGTCCGACTCTTGCAACCCCATGGACTGTAGCCCACCAGGCTCCTCCGTCCATGGAATTTCCCAAGCAAGAATATAGGAGTGGGTTGCCATTTCCTTCTCAGAGCCTGGACCCAATTTGCCTGTCAACCTCCCTCTAAGCCTCTTCCTTCCTCCCCTGGGGCAAAACCCTAAACAAATTTAGATGCTCAGAAGCCTGCCTGGCTACCTCTGGGCACCACCAATGAGACACGAGTTGCACCTAGCACCCACTTATTTTCCTGTAACCATGCTACACTAGGTGTGTCTACCTTGAGGACGGATGTCATGTAGGGTCTAGCTCTGCGTGGCCAGCCCCTACTGAGCAGGTGTGTGGAGTCAGTGCCCCCCTAATGGACCAAAAAGGCCAGACACAAGGTCAATTTGGAGCACCGGGGCCCTTGTTTGTCAGCTCCTGTCTCCACACACCTGCTCCAGGTGCCTCAGCAGAGTCTCCAGGATCCCTGTAGGCCCTCAGACCTTCCAGGTGGGTGGCGGTGAGTCCCCCACCCCCCACGGCCTGTACTCACACTGCCCTTGCGCACGTAGTCAGGGTCTTTGTAGATGTCCCGGGCCAGGCCAAAGTCACAGATCTTCACCACGTCACTTTCTGACAGCAAGATGTTTCGAGCGGCCAGGTCTCTGTGGATACACTAGGGGGGCGAAGAGGAGCAGTGAGGCGACCAGGCCCCTGTGGCCACACCCACACCTAGAGCTCCAGGGTACCCTGCGTGAGTCCTGCTCTTTTGAGGATAGATTTCTGTGTGCCCCAGAGCTTGCTATGGAGAGAGCTGGTGGCACTGTGCGGGCAGCGGAGCAGGCTGTGCAGTAGGACAGACTGGTTTTATACCCAGCTCTGCCTCTGACTAGCGGAAAATCTTGGGAGTCTGGTTCTACCCTTTGGACTCAATCTACAGCGCTGCAAAGTGGGAGAGATGTGCCTTGACTACAGCTTTACTGTGGGGTAAGCTGGTGAGTTTTGGCCTTTCTCCCCTCTGAAGAGACTGCTGGGGCAGTCACCTTTCGAGAGGCCAGGAACTCCATGCCTCGGGCCACCTGGAAACTGTAGCAGACAAGGTCTTCCATGGTCAGCGGGCTCAGCCACAGGTCCTTGGCTGCACAAAGAAGTGAAGCTGGCTAGGAAGGTCCTCGGCCGTGACTCCCACTTTCCACCCAGCCCCGAAGCGAGCACTTCCGTGCTCACTGAACCTGGCTGCACCCCTCCTGGCCAGGCCTAACAAGCCTGCTGGTCCCCTCTCCTGCCGCTCAGCCTCCCTTCTGTCTGTGGTACCCGCTAACTACTCCCAGAGCAGTGAGTGCTGCTGCCACACTAGACCTCTGCCTCTGCTGCTTCTGCCTGGACCGCTCCCCACCATGTTTGCAGGGCAGGCTCTTACTTATCTAGAGACGACCAAACCAAACATCAGAAGTCTCACGCCCCCAGGAGTGCAGGTAGTCAAGCGTGTGGATTGGGATCTTGAGCTCATACCATCAGGGCGCAATGGCACCCTCCGGCGGGGACATGGGGGCTTTGTTTCCTGAGGTGGCCTCTTTTTAAGGCAGAGTGCATTTCATACGCTCCCATGTTAGGTCCCTCCAGCAGGGCCCCAGGTTGGCTTATCCCAGGGTCCTGGAGCATGCCAGCCATTTTGGGCAAGGGGACGCCAGACTCTTACCTTCTTGGACTGGAGCGGCCCGCCCCGCCCCGCCCTTGCCCGTTAGGAGCCTTGTGAGGAGGGCCACGTCGCTGTTCCCTGGCCTCCTCTGGTCAGCCTTGGCGGCCTCCACCATGGAGCAGAAGTGCCTTCGCTGCTCAGCAGACTTCTCCTGCGATGCACAAAGCAGGTCGGGGCGGGAGGAGGCTCGCCGTCTACTGCAGAGGCACTTTCCGCCCTCCCCGCCCGGCTCACCAGCAGAGCCCTGGCCCTCGGTGGGGCGCCCACCTACCGCGCGGGGATTGAAGGCCTCCCGCTTGGTGCGCAAGAAGTTGGAGAGATTGCCATACTTGCAAAACTCCACGATCACCATGAGAGGGCCTGGGGCAGGGCAGGAGGGTGCACTGGAGGGCAAGCAGCACAGCCACGGCCCGCCCCAAAGCCCTCCTGTGGCCCGCCCACTCCCGGCCCAGCTGGCCCTCCACACCCGCAAAGGTAAGGGCACCTTGGGGCTTCACCCTCCCGGAAGGGCAACTGAGTTCTTTACCATTGGGCTTGGTGCAAGCCCCCAGGAGGTTGACCACGTTCAGGTGGTTACCAATGTGGATTAGGATTTTGAGCTCCGACATCAGGGCGCGATGCTCGCTGGCTGTGGCACCCTCTGAAAGCAACACGGGGGCTTTGCTTGGTAACCGGGCCCACCTGGCCCCTGACCCAGGCCCTGAATATCCTTTTTCCCGGGTCACTAGCTTGGGCTTCCCTGTGGCTCAGACGGTAAAGAATTCCCCTGCAATGCAGGAGACACAGGAGTCCCAGATTTGATCCCTGGGTCTGGAAGATCCCCTGGAGGAGGAAATGGCAACCCACTCCAGTATTCTTGCCTGGAGAATTCCATGGACAGAGGAGCCTGGTGGGCTACAGTCCATGGAGTGGCAAAGAGTCGGACACAACTGAGCCACTAGCAATTTCACTTTCCGCTGAGCTTAGGCCTGACCAGCGCTCTTGCTGGTGGGGGTGCAGCCAATGCCACCTCCCTCTCTGAGGCAAAAGGTTTAGGTGGGACTGGTAAGTATTACTCAGAGGTGAGCCCCGGCCATGGACTCCTTGTATGACCTCTGGTAAGAGTCTGTTCTGAACCTGTCTCCCCTCTGGCCCCACAGACCCACCAGCCCACCCAGAGCTGCTGGTCTTCACCAGCTCAGCCGCCCCTTCTACCCACGGAGCCCACACCTTTCAGCATTTTCACGGCCACAGTGTCACAGCTGCTGCCCTTGTTGATGCCGAAGGCTGAGGCTTCCACCACCTTCCCAAAGGCCCCGTGGCCGAGGACTCTCCCTGTGGGGGCAGGGAGCTGGTTCCAGGTGAGCTGTATGGGGGTGTGGGTGGAGAGGACTGGGCAGAAGGGACAACCCCTGTGGAGGGCCAGGAAGGAAGGCCCAGGAGGGGGAGGAAAGTCAGGAGCCCCCCTGCCAAACAGGAAGTGCACCGGGAGCAGGGTGGGGAGAGAGGGAGGAGAGAGACAGACAGGAAGGCCTGCATCCTCTCCCAGCAGGTGTGACAGGCCCACCCTGCTCAGAGCAGCAGGAAGTGACCTCGGGGGGCCTGGGAATTGAGAGCCCCTATAACAGTTCTGGGGATGCGTGCCTAGATGGACAGGTCAGGCCAGGTGGGGGCCAGGTGGGACTTTCTGGCATGAGTTCTGAGAATGGAGGGATTGCAGGGCTCCAGCCTGCCTGACCCCAGAGCAGCTGAAGCAGCGTCTGCCCAGCAGGACTGGGTGGGCGAAGCAGGCTGGGAGCAGGTCTCACCCAGGTGCAGCCGTTCCCGGGGGAACTCCCACTGACTCGTGTCATAGGACAGGTATTCACACTGCTCCTCCAAAGGCACCTCCCCAGGGTCCATGATGATGGACAAGTAGCCAGTCTTGATGTCTGCGTGGGTTGGCTGGGGGATGGGTATGGGGACAGCTCACTGACTTGGCCATAGCATCCTGGCTTCAGTGAAACTGTGCCCTGGACAGATGGCCTCTCCTTAGGGGCTCCCGGCGTAGGAGGGGACAGATGGACAAACTTGTCCTCCAACAGTGCAGCCTGGAGGGGTCTGGGGGGCCTCCCAGGATACAAGGCTTCCAGGTGAGCCAGGGTGAACCATATTCCTTAACTTAAGGGCTGGACAGGGTAGAGAGAGCCCATGAGCAGCTGGGGACAAGGGGTGCTTACCCTGCTCATGTTACAGAAGATGAGGAGAAGGAGGACCCAGAAGAAGACAGCGATGACCCCGGTGCCAACAAGGATCACGATCTCCATGCTGCCTTTATCCTCAGAGCCTGAGTGGGCAGAAAGCGGGGGTGGCAACTATGCACGTATTGTGAGGGGGAGAGGGCACACCCTTTGGGCGACACCCCTTCTGGTGGGCACAGCTGGCATCGAGTGTGGGCAGAAGGCGGGCTGGGGGGGGTGCGCGCGCGGGGGAGGCGGGACCTTCCACAGCCACGCTGGCAGAGGAGTTGACGCAGCCCTTGGCGTTGCACACACTGCACAGATAGTGGCCCGCATCCTCCTCGCGCACGCGCTGGATGCTCAGCCTCTGGTTCGAGTCCGCCAGGTCGATTCCTGCAGCGAGGGCGGTGGACGTTCGAGTTCAAGTAGGTCTGGGGCTTTGGCCTAGAGAGCTTCCGGACGCCGCCCTCCACCCATATCCATCCCCCTACCAGACTCTTCTTCCAGCAGCCTCTCATCTTTGTACCACACGATGCTGGGTACGTGCACCCCAGCCACTGGGCACCGCATCTCCAAGGAATCACTCACATTCACCAGGAGGTCGCTTAGGTTCTGTGTGAGCCGTGGGGCTTCTAGGGCTGGAGGCGGGGTCGAGAGAGAGCTGAGTGGAGCTGCAGAAAGCAGGAGGGTGCTCCAGGAAAGGGCCCTCGCATGCTAGGAGCTCTCCAAGCTGAAGGGTCAGGGTTTGAGCTCGGGGTGGGCAGGGCTGTGCAAGCCCCGGAGGGGAAGGAGAGGGGGATGCTCTTGCGGGCTCGGGCTTGTGAATGGACTGCCCAGGCGCGTGCTGGGCTGGGGATAAAGGCTCCTTGGGGAGCACTGCCCCGCCTGGCCCCTCCGGCCCGGCTTGCCTCACCCTGCACAGACAGGTACTTCTTATGGCAGTGCTTGTCACGGCTGCGCCGGTCCTGCACCTCACACACGTAGTCGCCTTCGTGCTCCGGCGCCACACTGGGGATGGTGAGGGTGAGCGTGGCGTGGCGCTCGCCGGGCGTCACCTCCTCCAGGCTGGCGGCCAGTGGCGTGGCAAACAGGTGCACGCTCTTGCAGTCAAGCAGCAGTGGGTTCCCCTGCGCGTCGTGCAGCGCGGACAGGTTGAGGCGGTACCAGTGCAGATGCTCGTATGTGTAGCTGTCAGCCCGGCAGCTCAGGCGCACGGCCTGGCCCTCCAGGGGCTCTTCTGATGGCTGTGCCTCTATGCTGAAGCCGTCGGGGATGGCTGGGGAAGGGGGAGGAGCCACTCGCTGAGGCACGTGAGGTGCTGCGAACCTCCCCACCTGCTCAGGGCCTCCCTCTCTCTTTCTCATGGACCTTTGAGCTCACTCAGCTCTCAAATAAGGGTGTGCATCTCCTGTGCCCGGGCCAGGGACGCACTCTGGAGCCCTCTTCTCCCTCTCCCTGACAAGAGATCAACTCTCTCAAGTCAATTCCACCAGGGGCTCCTCCCGCCGTGCCCCCCTCTAGTTTCTCCTGAACAAGCCCAGCTGGATACTGCCCCCACCTCTCCCAGGAGCCCATGCCACCAATGAGTTTCTTCCTGGCAGCTCAGCAGGGGCCCAAATGCCCATTCTCCCTCCCTGCTGAGCACACTCCCACCCCTGTCCTCTTTCTGAAACAATCTGGTTTCATTAGCATTTGGCAATGGCTTCCGATTTCCTTTTGTCCCTCTGGCTGTTCACTGTCTAGCTACTATGGGCTCCTCTCTCCTGCAGAGTGTTTTCTTTGGCTCCACCTCTCTTCTAGGTGCCTGCATTTAAACCTCTGGGCCCATTGATCGTTCTTCCGTGGTCTTCTTAGCATTCCTGAGGTCATTAACAGGTTTGAAAAATCTGAAGCAACCACGGACCTTCTTCCCAGGGCCAAATGCATATAAGAACCAGCTGCTGTGCAGGATCCATGGCTCAGGAAGGGGGTGGGAGGGAAGTGCAGGAAGGTGCAGCTGTGGGGAACAAGAGGGCACCCCAGGGAGGCACCTCCTGGTCTAGGGGCAGATGGTGCTGCCTCATTCCAATTCATATGCCTGTAACCTCCAAATCTACCCCTCCTGCCAAGACCCAGAGGCCCAGTGGGCCCTGGGTATCTCTCCTGGCACCTCAAGGTCACAAGAAACTCAATGGGGCCCCAACCCAGGCATATGATCTTCTCCCAGGCCTGGTCTCCTCCTGTGCCCACCTGGTTCCTGACCTCCATCCAGGCCTGCCCAAGTCACTCACTGGTCACGTAGAAGTAGATGAGCCGCTCATCCTGACCCACTTTGTTGAAGACCAGGCACTTGTACATGGCGGACACATTGGCCTCCTGGATCACCAGCTTGCTCACCGTCTGGACAGGATACATGGCAGGCATAAGGATCCATTTCCTGCCTAAGTTCCCCTACCCTCACCTCCTCTTTCTGCATGGAAGTTGCTGTGCCCACCAGAATAACGGGGGAAACTGAGGCTCTGGGCTGGAGGTGACCAAAGCTCAGAGACAGTACCAGGACTGGTGAGGCCAGGAGAAGGTGATGAGGTCCTTGGGCAGCAGCGAGAGGCGGCTCCCCTGAAAACTCAAGGGACAGCATGACGGACAGCTGGCATCAGCTGTGGCTGGTGTCAGAAGGCACTGTTAGGCAGGACCAGAGAGCCCTCTGGCTACAGATGGGCTCAGGCTGCTGCCATGCTGAGGAGGCGACAGGGGCTGGTGGTACTGGGTTGGTCCAAGCCAGAGTTAGGATGCACGCTCTGGTCATATCAGGTGTCAGCCTGTGGTCCAAGGAGTCACTGTGTGAGGCCCTGCGATGCGCCCACAAACCCTTCAGGGCTGCCTACAGCACCTCTCAGCGCTCTGGGTCGTGGCAAGGGAAGAAAATGGGCTCCAGGGCTCCAGAAGGACTCTGGGCTGGGGGAGTAGGAAGCTTGGAAGCGGAGGAAGAGAGAGGGCCATAGGCTCTGCCTACCAGCCCGAGAGCCCACCCCCAACCTCAAGCCGGGCACTTCCTGGCCAGCCTGGAACAGGAAGAGGCTCTGGAGGTGTGTAGGAAAACAGGAAGTGACTGTAGGAAGTGGGTGCCTTTGTTCAGTCCTTCCCCTGCTAGGCCTCTTCGAGGGATTGCCCCCAGCCTGGGCCAGCCGTCTTTGGGGAGGATGGAGCATCCCCAGCCCCAACTCTCCCAGCTCTTCATATGGGCCCATAGCCATGGAATCTCAGCTTCCCTCTCTGGGAAGCAGCGGCAGGTCTGGCCCCTGCAGTCTATTGCAGGCAGGGAAGCTGATGTCCAGAGACATTGTAGAAGGGTTACTGACTCTCAGCTGCTATTGCAAGAGCTCTGCAAGTCCAGTGGAGACCTAGAAGGCTAGGAGAGGACCCCACCTCTCTCCTTCTGAAGAAAGGACCTCACCTCTCTTCTTCTCCCCCAGCCACTCAGTGGCCTGGCTGGTCCATACCTTATTTTTGCCCTCTACAAACTCTGTCCAGGTGTCCAGGCTCTCAATGGGGTTCACAGCATCCTGTGTGGTCACCTCCCTCCAGTCCTGGCACTGTGGCATTCGGTCTCGCTGCTGCCGCTGCTGGCTGCTAAAGACAAGGAGGGACAAGGGCAGTTAGGGATTCAGGCAGAGAGGGACTACACTAAGGGCAGGGTCAAGCTTTTCTCATACACAGGGTCACCTCATCTCATGGTGGGGAAGGTTGGCCCCCCAAAGCAAGCGAGGATGGCAGGGGCTTTGTTTCTGGCCACTGTTCAGGGCTCAGTAACCCATCCTGCATGGGCTGCCAGACACAGCCTTACCCAGTAGACCAGGATCTGAGCCTGCAGAGCACCACACGCCTGTGACTCTGTGCCAATCCTCTGGTCTGCTGTGCCCCCTGCCCCTACCCACATGTGTCCCTTCCTGCAAAATCCACCTAGATCTCCTGGGGCAGAAGAGTCACTCCGGTTAACTCCTGCCACAGGAAACCCTCTCCTTCCGTCCCTCTTCTACAGCTGCCGCCCCTCCCTGGGACGGCCGTGCATCCCAGCACCTTTGGTCTCGGCTGGGATGAGGGTCTAAGGGGGCTCAAGGGAGGCTCTTGTCTGCCTTTAGGGAAGCAGAACTGGCTCTAGGGCTCTGTAATCATGCAGAGCATCAGATGGAAGCACATTTGGAGGTGCCAGTGATCTGCAGCCTCAGTTATTCGGAAGAATCTCTTATGAACCTCGAATGTTGTGGGCTGGCCACCCCTAGTGAACCTCCCTAACTGACCATGCCAAGGGCCACAGTCTCTCTGCCTTGTATGGCTGCCTCGTCTCCCTTGGTTCCCCAGCCCGTGATCCTGTCCCCTGTCTCTTAGGATCTCTTGCTAAATGGCACGTGTGACTAGCCCCTCCCCTGCTCAGCACAATTCACTGTCTCTCTAGTGCCTTCTAGACCACTGGCCAGCTTGGCGCCCTCCATTCCTGGCCCTTGCTGGTCCAAGTTTTCTGTTCTCCTGGACTGTCTGTCCTACTGGCCCCCAGGTAGGGCAGTGTGGCCCAGCAGTTGGGCAAGCTCTGCTGCTTACTGCCATGGCATTGGGAACGTCATGTGCCTTCTCCAGCCTCACTTTCTCCTCTCTAAGGGGTCATGGTGAGCACTGTACAGATGAGCTGGTGAGCCTGGACATGCTTAGTGTGCCTTGGAGTTCACTCAGTACATGTCTCGCAAAACCAGCGCAGGCCTGCCTGCTTGCTGAGGGGTGTCGTCCCTAGTGCCCAGAGGCGTGTCCTTTGGTCCCCTGCAGATATGCAGTTGTGTGTCTGGGGAGCATCGCTTTCAAGTGAGAGGATGGTGGGAGCTGCACCATTCCTGTGTCCAGCCTGGCCTGACTGTACAAGGGAGGGTCTGAGCCTTGCTCAGGCAAGGTGAGCTCAGGGGTTGGCTATAATCCATGAATCATGATAGGGTTTGGGTTTAAAGCGGAGCTATGGGGAGGGTGCTGGTAGTGAGAGAGGGTTATGGTTGAAGTTGGGGATGGGGCTGGGAAGTGGGGGAGGCAGGGTGGAGCCACACTCACAGGCTGCGCTGGCTGAAGGTCCTGCAGGGTGTCCACGGCCGCCAGTGCCACTGGATGCCGAGAGGATGGGGCACCCCGTAGGCCGTGCAGGTGAGGGCCTGGCGACTATGGCGGGAATAGATGCTGGGGGAGGAGGCCTCCTTTTCGTGGATGTGGGGGGGTACTGGAGACATAGGCAGACAGCCAGTCAGTGTACCCCCAAATACCCCCCTGTCCCCCTCCCCATCTCCTGCCCCACCCACACCTACCATTAACCACCAGCTCCAGGCTGATGTTACGCCTGAGGCCAGCCGCGGTGTTCCACAGGGCCAGGGTGTAGATGCCTGCGCTGGCCTCCGTCACCTCCTTGAGCACCAGAACATGGGGACTATGGCGCCCGGACACGGCCTTTTTGTCCTTGTACCTGGCCCAGGAAAGGAGTTCAGGGGGCTGTGACCTCCACCCCAGCTCTGTCCTGTCCCTCCTTCCCTGAAGTGCCCCAGCCCCGACCACTAGGACACAGTCAGGAAGCGGGAGAGGCCTCCCAGCCCCAGACCTGCTTCTGGATGAGCAGCAGGGGTGACGGCTGTGGCAGCCGACTCTGGACTGGGGAACAGACGGCTGTGCGGATGGTCCCTGGGTTTGAGCCGTGAGGGCTCATGACACCCCCCAGGCTCAGGACCAACCAGAGTCCCCAGGGGCCCCTGTTTCTGCCATAGGCTTCACAGGGGTGTGCTGTGAAGGAGTGGAGGAGTGGTCCCTGAGGGCGCAGCTCAGACCCTGAGCACGTAGGGGTCTGGGAGCCCTGACCCTGACTCTGCCCTTCCTGGAGCTCTCCAGATGCATGGGCTTCTTGTTGCCCTGCCCCCTTTCCCAGGGCCTTTGTACTCACTTTCCTGCTTTGCTTGCATGCTAGACATCTGCAGGGCTCCCGCTCGCCTATATCCACCGTCACCCAGCCATCAGAGCAGCTGTGTGGACCAGGAGCTGACCCTGGGCCCTGCATCTGCTTGTCTGCATGCTAGTGTTCACACACGTGTCTGCTGAGTGTTGGTTCCCACACCGAGCTGTACGTGTGGTCGCTGCCATATACCCTATGTGACGAGCAGCATCCAGCACACATAGGTGCTCAGTGTACCTGTGTATAAATGGGCGACTCATACCCCAGAGGAGACTCCTTTCCAGTCCCGAGCTGGGAATGCTACAGGCAGCATCTCTGGAACCCAAGCTCTGACCTCTGCCTGGAAGTAGCCCTCAGGCAGGAATCGTCTTCTGGTTTACTAGGCCAGAGAGACAGGAGGAAAGCACAGCCCTCGGGATGAAAAGTAACAGCGAGGGGGATGCAGGGGCCTGGCTCTCAACTGCTGCACCACAGCCCATTCACAAGAGGTTTGCCTTGCCAGAAGTCACACAGCAGGGCAGGGAGAGTAGGGCCAGCCTGGGAGGCCTGCTGGGCTCTGGTGCAGAATCCTGGTTGCTACCTGCTGCGTTTGTGATCCTTCACTGCCTCAAACTCCAGAGTCTTCATCTGAAAACCAGGGAAACCAAATGCACCTTCTTGCAGGTGTGGTCAGGTCTCCCAAGATACAGCCTTGCTGTCAGCATGGTGCTGGACGCACAAAGGCTGCTTTGGGGGCTAGGACCAGCCTGTCCACTAGATCTCTGTCTGTTCACTTGCTAGTAATCATCACATGATTTCCTGGAAGAGCTGAGCCTGGTGGGGTTATGCTCACCACAAATATCCTGGGGCAGTTGTCTCAGTGGACAGTGGGCCCAGCTGAGCACTTCTTGGAGGCAGCTATTGACCAAGTGAGACAAAAAAAAAAAAACAAAAAACGGGCCAGATGTGGCGGGAATGGTGAGAGGAAGTCAGCTGCCTGAGGATCAGGGCTGGACCAGATCTTTGATGCAACAGAGCTGGCCACCCTCCCAGACAGGGCCAGTGCCACTGGCCTTGGAGAGCAGGGGGCAGGGCCTTAGTCCAGCCTCCACCAGCGCCCTTCGGGATGCTGTCTCAAGTGTCCCGGGCCTGCACCAGGTGGCCCTGATGGACCCCAGAGCCTGAGCCTCACAGGGAGAGTCACGGAAGCCCCAGGCCCAGGGCTTCCAGGGCCCTCCCAGGAGAAGCCTGCTTCCGGACTCTGGCCAGAGATGTGGGATGCTGGCTGAAGAGGTCTGGGCTTCTTCTTGCCAAACTCTAGGCTTTCAGAAAAGGTCATCCTGCCTGGTAGGAGGTGCTCCAGGCTGGGAAGGCGAGGCTCCCCTGGCCAGTTGTGAAAGGACAGAGCAGATGAGTCCCAGGAGGCTCAGGGCTTGGGCAGGAATGCCCTTCCCCTTTCCTGGCCTGTTTCCCTCCTGTGTATGATGAGAGACAAGCAAGAGTGTGATCTCCCAGGGTCAGGCTGTATGGACTGCTCAGGTGGCTGAAGGGTGCATGGTGGGGTGCTGTGCCTTCCCGAGCTCTCGGGGAGCATCCGGTGGAGGTAAAGCCACCACTGAGGGACCTCTCTCTGACTCTTGGCATACCCTGCAAGGGGTACCTTACTCTCAGGTCACACACCAGGAGTGGGGATCTCGAACTTGTAGGCCTCCCAGAAGCTCCAGCTCACTGCCACACAGCTCTCAGGCCCAGCCCAGAAATCCTTGTGAAACCCTTATCATATCTCCAAAATTCTGGTTAGAAGTTTCCTGGGGGTGGCAACCTGTTTGGAGAGGAGCCTAGGAAACCTGAAGCCATTCCTCTATGATCCCCTCCAGTGGGGGCCCTCAGAGAGGCTGAGTGGGTGCAGGAAAGAGATAAAGCCCTATGCTATGCCCACTGCACCCACACATAACAGGAGGCCAGTATTCACACTCTTTCACAGTTTAGCAGCAATTCAGGCCAACCTTCCCTCTAGCCAAAATATCACATGATGTGTATATTCCTTGGAATCTTCATGGGGGTCCCCCACTCAGGGCGTAGGTCCCCATCTAGGTCTCAGGAAGTAGGCCCTGATGGGGGGAATTTTGCCCTTCCCTCTCTGTGGTTCTTTCTTGCACTGGACTTGGTAGGGAGGGAGGGGCAGGAACCAGGGAGGTACCATTGGAACTCCGGTGGGGGATATGCTGCCAGCTTCACAGGCAGCTTCACCAGCTCATCTCCTGCTGTGGCCTCTAGAACTGGACCCTTGAGCCATTCGACGCTGATGAAGGGCTTCTCTGTCAGAGGGGAGACATCAGGGTAAAGTCAGGGCTGGTGTGGCTGACCCAGCACCACCCAGGGATTTGCAGCCACCCCCAGTGGCCAGATGCCCTGCTCTCTGGGGCGTGGGAACTGGGCAGTCCATCCACTCATGACCCTCCCTTCCCTCTGGCTGGACTCCACATTACTCGGGTGCACCATGACCTATGACCCTGGGCCCACACTGCACAAGAACCCTTGTGCTCCAGGCTTGACAACTGACACCCTACCTAGCCCAAGCCACGCTGGCCACAAGAAGCTGACAGGCCGTACCGTGCACAATGACCTCAGTGCTCTCCTGGAACTGCTGGATACCATTGTTGGCCTGGCACACGTAGGGACCCAAGTCACGCTGGCTGATGTTGTGGATGGTGAGGATGCTGGAGAGCTCTGTGTGAGTCTGCTGGGAGCGCCGCTCTGGTACCCACTTACCCCGCTCTGCCTGCCCAGGACCAGGGGAAGCACAGGCTCAGAGCAGGTGGGCTCCGACAGAACTGACCCCCAAAGGCACACCCCCCAGCCCAAACAGCAGCAGCTCCAGAAGTCTTGGACTCAGACTCTGACTTTTCCTTGGGATAGGAAAACTTCCCTATCAGACAGGGGCTCCTGGGACAGAGGGAAGTACGTGTGGGCCAGACCAGGGAGAGTGTGGGCTGCGACAGGGATTCCTGGGAAGGATTCAGGTACAGCCCCTGCCAGGGATGCCGAGCTCACCTGCTTCCCTGGATAGTTCCAGTCAAAGGTGACACCTGAGTTGAACTCGGCCCACACGGTACAGTTCAGGACCAGTTTTTCCCCAACCAGCAGCTCCAGCGATCTCTTGGGGAACAGCTGGATGTCATAGAGCTCGTTGCCTGGTGACACATGCACAGGGACCCCATGCCCTTTGTAGGACAGTGCATGTAGAGAACAGGGCACAGGCACCCCCTGAGACCAGCCAGACCGTGGTGCCTACAGCCCCACTGCTGGCAATTAGAGGGCTCCTGTCCTCTTCCTGAAGCTCTCCTCCCAGGACGTGGGCAGCAGCCGCTGGGGGAGGGTCCTGCAGCCCCCTACCTGTGATGTGCACGACGAAGGGGTTGGACAGGAAGGCCTGGCCGCCCCGGCTGGTCTCACACTGCAGGTACAGAGCATCGCGCAGCAGAGGGGTGGGCACCCGCATGCCCCGGCGGTCGTCCCACACCACCTCCTGTCCATCAGGTTGCAGTGCCGCGCTTTGCTGTAGGGACGCAGGGGCTGTCAGGGCCCAGCCACCCCTGCCCCTTGGCCAGATGAGTGGCCATTTTCCCAGGGACAGGGCCGGAGGGCCGGATCGAGGGTGGAGACGGGCAGGGCTGTACCGAGCGCAGTGTGACGTTCAGGCCGGGGATGGACACCCGGCAGGGCACCCACATGGAGTCCTTCCTGTTGACCAGGAGTGTGTCTGGCTTGTTGATGAATGGCTGCTGCCAGTCTGAAGAGAGGAGACGGGGCCAGGGAGGGGCGGGCAGGGCTCAGGGAGGCTGCCCAGGTGTGGGGCCGCAGGGCAGCCCCTGCTGCCCCAGGGTCCCAAGGCTGGGGTGGCAGCCACAGATGCCAGCCACCTCTTGAGAACCCAGGACCCTGCCCATGGCTCCTGAGTACCCTTGGGGGTGGGTTCTGGGCTCCCTCACCTCTCACAAATACGTAGGTGCTGGCCGCAGTGGTGCCCTCAATGCGAGCCTTGATGTACTTATAGTAGCAGCGGTAGCTGCCTGTGTCATTGGCGTGGGCCTCCTGCAGCCGCAGAACCTTGCAGTAGGGCCGGGCGTCTGTGCCTTCACAGTCTTGCACGGTCCCCGTGTCCTCACCATCCTTCTCCTCTGGGGCTGGCACATCCTGAGCCCCGGGCCAGGCCCACTCCAGGGGGTGCTGCCCCCTGGTGAAGGAGGCAGGACATCAAGAGAGGCCCGGGCCGCAGCCCTGGGGGACGGTCCCTGTGGAGCCTCTCAGAGGCCCAGCCTTGCTCATAGCCCATCTCACTCAGAGGTCAGGGCACATACCATGAACACAGGGGAGGGTACCCCCTGAGTCCCCTGGGGCCTCTGCATGGCGCCTGGGCCTGCATTTGGCAGGCTGTCCTTCAGAAAAGCCTGAGCCTCAGATTATAGCTGGGGCTGAAGGGAAGATCACAGCTTGGCAGTCTGTGCAGGTGGGTCTGGGGCCAGTGAAGGGTGGCTGACTGTGGGCGCAGGCCACCGAGCATTCGTGTAGGATAACCTGGGGGTGGGCATGGGGTGGCCCCGGTCAGTATGGGTTGACTCAAGGATGGATGCAGGGTGAGAGATCTGTGGTCTGTAGGAGATTGTGAGGGGTGGGTATGGGTGAAATGGGGTAGAGTGCCTGCGTCTACAGGGCTGGGGATGGTCTGTGCCTCCAGGAACCCACACTGAAGCCACCTGGGAGCACCCTAAGCCTTGAGGCCTCTCTGCCTCGGGGCTGGGGTGCTGCCTTCTGAGCCCTCTGCCACCATTGGCTCTGCCTTCTGTAGTCTCCTTGGCCTGCTAGGCAGGAGGGACCCAGGCCCAGGCCCCCCTGGGTGAGGGCTGAATACCTGCAGGAGATGGACAGGCTGTCACTGGAATCGATGACATATGTCTCTTCCGTGATGTTCAGGGTTGGCGGGGTCATGGAGTAGCCACTGGCCAGGCCTGGGTTGGGAGAGAGGGTTAGCGTGGGGCTGGGTCATAAGTTCACATGATGATATGGATCTGGTGCTGGTGGGCCCCTCCGCAGGGCAGGTGCTGCCTAGCCCTTCGGCCGGGAGCAGGACCGATATGGCCCAAGACATCTGGGAACCTCTGCCTCAGGCTCCGCCTGCCTGCTGGCTGCAGCCCCAAGTGAGCCCTGACTGAGGCCTGGGCTGAACTCAGGCCTCCGGTCCCCAGGAGCGGAGCTGCCGACATGCAGCCAACAGGTGAGACCACAGGCTTCCTCCTACCTTAGGTGAAGCCTGCAGTACATTTCCTCGGCATTAAGACCCCCAGCCACTGCACAGCGCAGACCCCCAGACATGCCCCGGACTGAGGCCTTGTCTCTCCCTGGGACTCTTCCTGTGACCCTGCCCTCTTCTGCACCCCGCGGAGTCCGTCTCACACGGGCTTGGCTCCATCGGCCTCTCTTTGCCCCCTTCTGGCTGCCCGTGCTCCCCTCTCCCTGGCTGCCCGTGCTCCCCTCTCCCTGCCTCCCCTGCCTCCGTCCCTGCATTACTCCAACAGGTCTAGCCCCCAAACAGAGAATTGCCTTGCCTGGTTAAACACTGACCTGTGGCCCTCCAGAACCTTGGCCCTGCTGCCCACGCAGCTTCTCAGTCTCCCTCCTCCTCCCCAGGGGAGTGTTGCATGCGTGTGTACACATGTGTGTGCATGTGTGCTGTCTCTGTGTGCCTAGGTGTCTGTGGCCATAGATCTGTGTTTATAGGACTGATGATGAGTGCTGTGTGTGATTTTGTGCATGTGTGTTATTGACAGGTCTGTGCGTGTGTGCACGTGAACTTGTGTGTGTATTTGTGTGTATGATCCTGGAGGAGGGTGGGAGCAGGCCCCAGGGGAGGTCTGGGCCTAGAACTCTGGCAGATGCATCCTGCCAGGACCATCCTGAGACAACAGGAAGTGAGGACTGTGTGGCTGGAGGCCCAGGGCTGTGTTCTGTCCCTCCCCCGAGTCCCTGTCCTCCTGGGGGGCACAGCCCGCTGCCCTGCCCTAGGCCCCAGTCCCACAGGTCCAGTTCCTCTGCCCTGCCCAGTTCAGCTTCCTGAGGCCTAGAGTCTTGCCCTGGCAGCTAACTGTGGGAGGCAGAGCTTGGAGGAATCCCCACTATAATTGGTTCTACATCACCCTGACCCCAAGCTGCCCTAGAAAGCAGCACAGGATGGCCCACTCTGCATACCAAGATCTCATTTCAGCTTCACATGGACCTGACAGCTGCCAGGGCCTGGCCTCCCCCCGCCAGACTGCTCTACGTACCACACCACCACTGGTTAGCGGCCGACGGCCTCACTGAGCATCCAATCCAACTAGTATCTAGTCCAGCCAGGGAACCTGAGGCCCTCCAGCTGGACTGCATGGCCAGCTGCTGGGACCACCAGGCAGTCTCTTCTTAGCTTGAAGCCAGTGCACCCCCTCCTGGCACTCAGCACAGAAGCCCCGCCCTGGGGTCCCCAGATGGCAAAGTAGCAGGTCCATTCCTTCCCAGGGTGGGTTCCGGCTCCCCATCACAGCTCCTCACCCAGCCCTGGGGCTGCTCCGGTGGAGAGGCCCCACAGTGGGGAGGATTCCTTCTGGTGGTGAGGGGCCGGGAGTGAATGCCAGGAGGACACCTCTAAGGTGGATTTTCAAAGAGAAGTGGGATTTTCCAGGCAGTGGAATGTGGATAAAGCCACTCTACAAACTGGCTTCTGAGCTACAGAAGCGGAGGAGGGGCAGGGATGATGGATTGGGTTTGGACGTGTGAAGGGATGACAGAACCAGCTCCCTAGTGGACCACTCGGGGGTCAGGCCTGAGGCTGGTGTTTGGGCACCAGAGGAGACGGGCAGCGGCCAGGACCTGTTTGCCCTGGGTCATTTGTACCCCATTGTGAGGGCTGTAGCGTTACTCTGGGGCCCCTGGGAAGGCCAAGCTAGGGCCCCCTTCGCTGAGATGCTCCTCCAGGGCATGCCCTTGGCACTAGAGCTTGTGCAGTCATCAGCCCAGCTTCCTTTGGCAGCTCTCCTTTGCTTCCAAGATAAAGTGGGGAGAGCCCAGGCCCATCCCTTCTGCCCACTCCTCTTCTCTCCGGCTTTAACTCTCGAGACATCTGAGAGGCAGGCTTCTCACTGTTGTCCCCGAGTGCCAGACTTCATCTTGAAGTCTCTGTGTTCATTCTTTCACCCTGACATTTGTACTTGCTTCTCTGCTGTGGCTCTCCTCTTTAGGTTCTAATTCACAAGTCCCTCTATAAGGGGCAGTCTCTCAGGAGACACTCAGGCAGTGCTGGCTCCTCGGCTCAAGCTGCTAGAACACTTACTACACTAAATCATCTGAACAGAGACTGCATTTTATTCATCTTCCTAGCCTTCGGACAAAAGAGGTACACACCCAAAGTTGAGGATATGTATTCAAGAATATGTGGGCAAACTGGGAGATTGTTGAGGGGCAGGGAGGACTGATGTGCTACAGTCCATGGGGTTGCAGAGTCGGACATGATTTGGTGACTGAACAACAACAAATTCAAAAATGGTAGGATGGATGAAGGATTACCAGATGAATGAATGGATGATATGTGGAAGGATGGGTGGGTTGAGTGGCTATATGGGGTATGGAGCCTATAGGAGCTTCCTCCCTAGAGGCTATCATACCACCAAAGGAAGCATCTGAATCACTATGCTAAACAGGAGGTTCATCCATTATGCTTGCCAACCCTCTCACCCATCTGAGAGCCCCTCCTTTATAGCCGCACGCCCGACTCTGCACCCCCACTTCTGCTGGACCCTGAGTGAGCAGTAGTCTTCACTGTACACATCGCTGGCTTCCTCCATCCTTCCTGCCTTCACTGAAATCTGCATTTCTGAGGACACCACTGCCCCTGGGGTGGTTACTGCTCCCCATTGCACGCGTCGGAGAACTCCTTGTGGTCACTTCCCCTTTTCCAGCAGCACCACCCACTCCCCACTAAAGCTGTCATCAGCCCTGTCCTGGTCATTTCCCCTCATTCTCTGCTCCTGGCTCTTCAGGTCCCCCCACCTCAATCCAGGCCATTTCTCAGAAGTTCGGTAGCCACAGCACTGAGTCACCAGCACCCTGGCCTTCATGGTCCTCATCTCCATTGTTCTCCCTTCTCCCTTCACTTCCTGGGCATACCCTGGTCTTGGTCCCCACCAGAAGCTGTGTCATCATCGAGTGCCTACTTTCCTGTGCTTCTCTCTTTGCCTCCTCTGTCTCCTGCTAAGTTTCACCACTGCTAAGTCCTTCAACCTCATCAAAACGTCCTGGCCAGGAACCCCTCTGCACTGCCACCTCCTCCTGGCCCCACCCCTCTTTTGGCACTGCGTGGCCCACAGCCCATCATTCTGAATCCTCCCTTGCCCCTGCCTGCTTCCCCAGCCCTGCAGTGCCCACGTCCCTCAGAGGCTCGGCACACAGCAGAAAGCCCGAGGCCTGTGCTGCTTCCCCTCTCTCTCCTGTTGGCAGAGCCTAAGCGACCCTCGGGCTCAAGCCCAGGGCGGTCCCTCCTCCTTCCCTCTCAGCACTAATGAAGGAGAGCCATCAGATGGAGACCCCTCATCTTCCCACATTCAAGTCCCACACCCTTCCCACACCCTCATCTCTGACATTCCTGCTCCCCAGGCCAAGCCCTCCAGCATGCTGGGGAGCCAACCTCTGCAGATCATTTCTTTCTTTTCTGGTTACCGACTTTCCTCTATGCAATCATCTCCCATCTTGTAAACAAACAAACAAATAAACAAAAACTCCTCACCTCCTCGATCCTATATTCCCTTCCCCTTTTCTACCCCCATTCATAGCAAAAATTCTGTTCGCTGTCTCCTTCCTTTCACATTTGCTCATCTTCCCACAGAGCGCAGCCTCCTTCTCTACCTCATGGAGCCACTGGCAAGGTATCCCGTGACGTCTGCTGCTGCAGGAGGCTCTCCAGAGCAGGCAGCAGGGCTGTTCCCTCTTCTGCTGGCTTCTGCGAGCTCACCCTCCCCGCGTCTTCATCCCTTCTGCCCAGCACCAAATACTGTCACTCTTAAGTGGTCGTGTATTAGGTTGGCCAAAAGGTTCACTCAGGTTATTCCATGTGATCATATAGAAAAACCCAAACAAAACTTTTGGCCGACTCAGTACTTACAAAATCTCTACCTCCAGCCCAGACCCCCTTCTCTCAACTGCAGCTTTAAGGGATAAAATCATGCTTAAACTTCATCAGGGACTTTCCACTCTACTTCAAGGAACTTCCAAACTTCTTGCTGTGGCCTGGCTGTCGCCCCCTTCCACACCCTCCAGGTCTACTCTCACCTCCTGCTCTCGTCTTCCAGCCCCCATGGCCCCAGGCTGCTCTGTTTCACACCAGGCTCCTTCCTGCCTCAGTGTTTTACACACACCTCTCCTCCTGATGAGCCTCTGCTCACATGCCTTGCACAGCCAGGCCCTTCTCACTTTCAGGCCTCAGCTTAGACATGACCTCTGCACCCCCCACCCCCAAAACCTAAGTCCTCCTTTAAGCTCCACCTTAACCTCCTGGTTGGTTATTTCTTTCTTCTTGTCATAATATGTAATTTTGTTATATACTTAAGTTATGTTTTTCCATTTCCTCTCCTAGACAATAAGTTTCAGTGGGGTAAGGACCCAAACAGTCCCTTTTCCAGCCCACTCCATGCCTAGCACGGCACTTGACACAGAGTCAAGGCTCCGTAAATCATTGTTGAATGAATAAACAAATGGACAGATGGACAAAAGGACAAATGAGTGGATGAATGGAAGGATGGATGGATGGAAGGATGAAAATGTGGAAAAAAGAAAGGGTGGCTAGATGGAAGGACAGATGGTCAGATGGAGGGATGGGTAGAAAGATGAATGGATGGATGGAGAGAAGGATGAATGAATGGCTGACTGAATGGTTGGTTGGTTGGCTAAACAAATCTCTGCAGTCAACCTTTGGGTTAAAACCCTG